GATTGGTGGTTTGTTGCTTTGCTGAGCTGTTGAGCTCACTCTTGTTTTCTGGTGGTTTTCAGATTCTGGGAAATGGAAGGAAGTCCAGGAATAGATTCAGAGTCTGATCCGTATATGTTTTGTTTGTTCCTTTTGATTTTTGTACAGTCATGGCTTTTCTGTTCTGTCTTTCTTTCTGTTCAAAAGCCATGTACTGTATCTGTAGATGATTGTTTTGAGTAAAATGAAAATATAGATGTTTTGTTCCGCTGTGTTTGATGATTCATAGTGGTTCTGTGTTTGTGTGTCTATTGAGTTGATTAATTTGGAAGATTCAGTTCAGTAACCAAATTCCAAAGCCAGATCCTGGATAAAAAGGTTTGGTCGCGGTCCGGCTCGGGCGGGATCCGTCCCCGTCGGGTCGGGTCGTGACAAATTCGATGTACGAAAAAAGACACCTCCTGGCAGAATGGAATAGATGCTTGAACAAATTAGAACTAAACTTTCTGGTGATCCAAGATCTCTTCTTAATCCTATACTTAAGAAGAAAATAATTCTGGTGTTCACAAATATCGGAAGTAACAACTCTACTACACTAAAGACCCCGAAAGGGACTCTTCTCAAGACGGTGGTCACAAACCTCAAGAAAACCTCCCTGGTAAATGAGAAAAGGGGAGTCAACATCAAGATAATGGGATGCCTCGTGACATCCAGATACCACCATCGGGTCTGCAACACTCATGCAAACAGACAGAAGGCGTCCATAAGTTACAACGTACTGCCACCGGATCTGCAATACACATGCAAGCAAACAAAACACATCCATAAGTTACAACGTACTGCCACTGGATCCGCATCACTCGTATTAGCGGACAGAAGGCATGTATAAGCTCTCAAATAAAATATTGTGTACCCAAATGGCAATTACTTGCACAACTATAATTATTTCGGTGTACCCCTGCACGTGCACTATAAATTGTATACACATAGGTACAATAAAGGGAAAAATACAATCTCAACCTGTATGGACCCCGGCGAACGTGTTATAAATACACACGTGACGTCTAGGGAAGCTGCGCGGGTCGATAAATGAATTCAAGTTCGAACCCGATCCTTCTATACGGATCAATAAGAGTCGATAGGGTTAGAACCTTCAAATGAATACCCGGTTGTGGCGACCAGTGTATTTATTTTGATATATTCATATTAGGCCGTCAAGACCTATAAAAATGAGAATTCACTAACAAAAAGCACAAAACTTATGAAACCCGATCCTCCTAAGCAGGTAAATAGGAGTGGAAAGGGTTCAAACCATCGAATAAATAAGCGATCATGAAGTCGACTGAAATATTTATCTTATACATTCATATTAGGCCTTTAAGGTCTATAACAAAAGAAGTTCATTCTCAAGGCCATAAAGCCTACGAAATCAGATCCTCTGTCGATAACTCGACAAGTTGACAATATTCAATCTATAAAGAGAAATGACCCCAAACACCCCGATGATGGCCTGAAGATCTCAACCGGAGGGGTTAATTTCGGGCATTTTTCAAATGTCTCCCAAAAGTCCACACAAAATCCAAACTCTACAAAGTCCAAAACTCAACAAAACCCAAATTCCAAGATATTTAAATTTGAAATTATCCATCAATCACTCAAAGCAAAATCCATCTATCATCCGCAACAGTTTGCCGAGGTGGACAAATTCAAATATAACTTCAACTCACATAGAGCTAATGCCTAGTCGAAAATATTACTAGGATCCATTTTCAAACAATCTCCTCCCAATAAGGACATGGTACGTGTCTTCTAACCGACAGTTTTGCCGCCAAATGGCACCGCAGGATAAACGGTTATGACCCGGAGTCCTCTGAATCGAGTGATTTTGCCGCCAAATGGCATCACGAAATACTGATTATGGCCAGCGTCGTTACATTCCTTAGTGGCATCAAATCCTTGAGATATAAATCAATAGGATATGATCGATAGGGCACAAAGCCCTCTATCAGCTAAGGTGAATTAAAATTTGTCCTCTTAGACAAACATTCACCCCAGGTCTACAAGGTCCCCTTGGACGAAGCAACCCATGGCTGCCGACAAGGATCCTTCTGTCAGGTTGGGTCGACTACCTCCTCTGACTAAGTAGACCAGGGACCACGATGGCCCGGGACGACAGAACCATGAGATCTTGATCGGGTCTATCATCCATTCCCCCACCATCCGCTTTAAGTGCAATATGGTGCAATTTCTAATTTTAAATATCAAATCTTCAAATTCTCAACCATTTCCAAACTTCTCAACCATTTCCAAACTTCTCAAATACCTATGCCCATGCTGCTACTATATACCAAATAACATGTATCTCTATATGTATCTGATTGACGACTAAACTTAATCGAAAGTTCTCTCTCGTAATCGGGAGGGGTAATTAACTATAGGGGCTTGCGCCTATAGGAAACCAGAACTCGGATCATAAAGTCCTCGCAAAACGAGGGTGAAATTTTTGGGTAGTGTCTTATCTACAAACTCATCTGCCTTACAAAATTTACCCCGGAAATTATTCCGTTAAAACTCCCTCGCCAAAGAAAAAGCACAATCAGTGCGGGCGGAGGCCGGGGCCTAATTTCGGAGCCCACAGACGATTGGAGCACATGCATGATGTGTTTTCAGCATATAGATTAGAGTTATTATAGAGATATAGCCTTCTATCCTCTTGTGCAAGTGTTGCGGATCCAATGACATACATTATCGATGAATTTTGCTTCAGAAAAATGTATTTTGGCATTCCAGATAATTCTCTCTTCTTTGTAATCATTCAAGCTTCTATTATTTTCATGGTTCAATAGTCGTACAATTGCTAGCACTGCAATATATATATAAGCCTCCAAAATCTTTCCAAACATAGAATTTTAGTGATGAGAATACGAATTCCTTATAACTACGGCTTATAACATTATGGATTTCTGATGTTGACATGTCATTGGAATCTCACTCTCTACTTCTACAATTGGTGTTTAAGACATACTACATTATCATTCTTGTTGAATGATATAGTTACAAAATGATCATCTGATTCTTGCTCTTCACTTATCTTAGACTTTAGATTATGTTTAAATTTAACCATTGAGTTTTCTGATTTAGCATGGTTTTCCCCTAAACTACCATTAAGCTTGCAATTTCTTTCACTAAAATATCTTTACAAGATGGAAGATCATCAACTGTAGAAAGTTTTCTATTTTCCATAAAATTCTCATATAGATTGGTTGTGGAAATAGTTGTATCCATAGATAATTTTGTTATTGTTGAATTTGTACGTAACACATCTATTCATAAAACAATTAGCAACTTCAAGAAGAATAGCATTGTCTCCCAAGACAATATTACAGCGATTGTCCATAAAATCATTCAAATCCTCATTCTTTGGATTATTATAAATCTTGTTAGGTTTATCTTCATCCCAAACTCTTGCATTTACATGTGTTGCCTCTGCTTCAGTTATACGAGTTTCATGAGTGTGGTATCTTTTCATCATCATATTTTTTTATATAATAAATTAAAATGACAAATTAATTGTGTGGGGGATCCTTTTTGTTCAATTTCAATTTCGACAGCCTCCCGACATCCCCTACCCGCGAGGGTTTAGAGAAGGCACTTTCCCTTTCAAATCCGCCCCCCCAGATAGGATTCAACAACCGAGGGCTTCAAGGGAGCGAATCAACACCGGAATTGGTCTTCAAGTCTTCTAATGCAGTGCTTGTGGAATTTTGGCATTTCCCTTGTATTTCAGCAGCCTTATGGTGCCTCCTCCCTCTGAGGAGGGGTTGGAGAGGGCACTTGCCCTTTTAATCTGCTCGGCCAGATCGAAACAACAGCCAAGGGCTTTAGGGGAGCGAATCGACCCCAGAATTAGTCTTCAAGTATTCCATTGTGCTCGACATGCTAATTAAGTGATTTAATTTAATTTTAAAAGATTTTTTTTATTCCACTTGAAAATCTGGAAGCCTTTCAATGCTACCTCCCTACGAGGGGATGTTGGGGAGGGAACATGCCCTTTTAATTCACTCGGCCAAATCGAATCAACGTCCAAGGGCTTTGTGGGTATTGGGATCGTGGGAGTCGGTCGACAGTTATAGGTCAACAGTCTGATGTCTTGTAAACAATACACTGAAGACTCAACATATTCAATTCCATCATGCAAGATGCATAAAACCTAATCACATGATTCATTGGACTCCGATTCAACAATGTCCAAAGCAAGTTAAAACAAATCATTGTTGGCATGAATGCCTTCTATAGTCAAAAACATTCCCCTATACTTGCCAAGGAAAAATGTATAATATAAAGCTTAATACTCACTCACAATGCGTATAACTAGAACTGCAAGTTCCAAGACTCCAGACCATGCTTTGGAAAGTTTGAGAGTATTGATCCCAATTGCATATTTGTACTTGGCATTGCTAATTTAATAACTTTCATTAACATAGATTCTCTCTTAACTCTCATAAATTTTGGCCTATGGCATATTATATGGGGAATTGATATAACATTAATAGTATTGAAGGTTTGTTATTAGAAGCCATCTTAGACATACACAAATTAGCCACAAATTGAACTAAATTGAGTTAAAGATAGAACAATAAAACAAGTGCGTATGAATCAATAAAACAAGTGCGTATGAATACCTCGATGACCATCACAAATTCCAAACACATGAATATCTTTCTCATTGCACATTTGGGGAAGCAAAAAGTGTGTATCCTCCATTTTCTCCCTTCTCCCACATGCTGCAAAAGATCCCCATGATAATGTAGGTTGGTATTGCAGAGGTTCATGTAAAGAACTAGGCCAGAGTTTCATTATTTTATTTCCATCATGAGCTTCCTTTGATGTTAGCTCCCCTTGGTCGAACCAGTTTAATTCTTCTTGAAAACAGGGAAGGCTATTCAGACCATTTCGATATTGACTTCTCAGAGAAGATGAAAGCACTTCAGAGTGTTTTTCCACACCTGTTTTTATGACATCCTTCATAATATCATCTAGTTCTTTAGTTATCTCATAGAAAGATGGTCTAAATACAGGATTTGAGTCCCAACACCTTTGGATTAGTGCAACAAGACTTGTGGGTAAGCGAGGCTTGGATTGAACAAGGGCAGGCCGCAGTCCTTCAGAAACTACTGCTGCCGTAAGTTGCTGCTCGGTATAGCTCATTTCAAGAACTGTGTGGGCCTTGAAGAAACGACCCATTAGTTTGGAAACCAGCAATTAGCAAAACAGTAAGTGGATATGATGACAAAGATTTATAATCGTTGTTCAGTTCTTGACCATGACATCATTGTTAAATTATACCTGAGCTTCCGCACGTAGATCAGTATAAGGAACTACACCAGTAAGAAGTTCACTGCAAAAGATTAACTATGTGTAAGAAAGCTATTGCAACAGGTCATTTTTTTCATTTAGCATGCATAAAATGATAGAAATCTGAAGATTTCTAGAGGTCGAAAAAGCATGATATTAAAGTCGAGGTGAAGACTAGGTTAATTTAAATTTTAATGTGACATAAGGTTTGAACCTTCACCCACTATATTTCTTGGAATTTCCTAATTTAGTGGTTTCCAATTCCATGCTTTAGCAGTCCACACATTACGATTAACTAACATACGTTAGGTCACCGATTTGGAAGAACGACTTTGACAATGTCATCGTTTGGTTCACGTTCTTGCTTATCCCTTTTATTGATGAGAGTTATGGATGCTGATATACTACGTTAACTAATGAACTGAAGTTGTTATGTTCCTTCTTACGCTATTTATGTTATTTTAGCTGGATTTAGATGCAGATGTTATAGCTAATTTGTCCTGATTTGAAGTATTGTAGCATGTGGGTGAGATTCCTTCTGTTGATGAATGGTACAATATCAACATTCAGTTTTTCCTTCTATACAAGTTCTCTACTGAAGCAAAGAATCGTATGCAGATAATTTCCTTATTTTCAACTTGGCACTATAGCCCAGGATCGGGCATTACTCCAACAATTCTGTCACAGTAGCAGATATCGGATGCAGATAATTTCCTCAATACATACTCTCATCCAATTTGGTATCAGAGCATATGATTGTCCTATAAACCCAACTAAAAATAGAACATAATATCTATGTTAATTAATAAAACAACAAAAGATGAAATATAAATAAATCGGATAGGTTATGATTACAAAGTAAATAAAACGTGACGTTCATTAGGTTCAACATTAATTTATAAGGATAATTTCTTCAAAAGACCATCCAACTTAATGGAGGATCCATCATGATTACTTCCTTTGTTTTTGAATTCTCTTTAATTGTGAAAATTTCTCTATAAATAAGGGATACATGTAAGATTGTACACACACAAATGTAATTTAGCACATTTGCTTACGTAAAAGTCTTTCCTCTAAGACAATGAGCCACTCCTCTTTCTCTGCCAGCCTATCTTTTGGCCTCTCTCTCTTTCTCTCTCTACCCTTGGTTGACCTCTCTCTTTGAGGAAATGGGACACTCTTCTTCTTTTTCTCTATCTTTTTGCATCTCTCCCCTTGGTTGACCACTCTCTCTGCTAAACTCAAAAATGGTGCTCTCTAGTGTGAAAAGAGTATCCTCATCAGCTATTCTACCATGTTTCCTGTGTGGATGTGGCATAGAGTTACTAGTCGCAGACTTCCCTACTCCCCCCTTGTTTCTCTCTCACATATGGATGTAAGTTCAAATCTACCATGCATGCAAGTTTCAAACTCCCTTTATTTTCTTGTCTTCAAATTAATGAGTTGGTGGCTCTCGGACTAGATAGGGGAGTAGTTGTAGGCCTGATTTTAAAAATTTATTCAGTATGATAAAATATGGTTTGTATTAGCTTTCTTAGATCCTTAGTAATACATTAAGCATTTTTACCATAGTATGATTGGCTAAAGTTAAAATGTAAAAGTCATGCATACCCAACGTATACGACATGAAGGGATCCACATATGCAACTGCATCCATAAATTGTAGAGGCTATTTCCATTCATTGTTTAAAATTGCGCAATATGAGGCTCGCCTTGAGGCCTGCCTCGGCGCAATTCCAGAGAAAAACACCTCGAGGTGTTTTTTTTTAGGCTTATGCCTCATCTTAGCTCACACCCACCTTGAGGAGCGCCTCGTCCAGTTGGCATGAGACGTACACCTCAGTCTATTTATGTGTTTTTTTATTTAAAACTTATCTAAATCCTATACAAAAGCTCCAAAAAAATCATGCCTTCTTGCACCCCTAAGCCGCAACAACTTCCTCTCAACTGCCTCGACCTCCAGCCCACCTCCTTCATCATAGCCACCTACGTCATAGCCAATACAGGGGATCACTTGAAAGCAACATGCCACCACCATCTCCTCTAAAAATTTTGGAGTATTACACTTATCTTTATGTTGATGAAAAACATTTATGAAAGATGAAGATAACTAAAATAAATGAAGAAACAAATTAGAGGTATTGAACCCTACAAGAAGAGGCAAAGGAGAGATCAATTTGTTATGACAACGACTTAAATAAAAACCGCCTTAGTAATAATAGAACAAATGAATTCTGAGTTGTCAATTATTTTAAGGAATTAAATGTAGATGAGTAGGCAACTGAGATAGAAAAAATTTAGAGCTGAGCTTAATGTTATATGATATTTTTATGCAATTCATATATTTTTATGTTGTTTTATTCCTGTAATATTTGAATTTCAATTCTAGTTCACATAATTTATCACTTACTAATTTACATCTTATGCAATTTTTATTTCATATGTACGTAAATTTGTTACTTCATAGTTCAAAAGAAATTTAATATGTGGTCCTTTAACATATTATTTGAGTATTATATAAAAAATCATTTTTAACTTTTATTTTAACTTAATTTTTAAATTTTGAGGCTTACGCCTCAAAACGTCTTGAGGTTTACGCCTCGCCTCACAAACGAAAAATGCCTCAATACCCAATTGTGCAATTTTAAAACTTCTTTCCATTATTAAAATGATAGACCATCGAGTACAATAGAGGTAACCTATTCATTGGTTCTATGGCCATCATTACTACAACAAGAAGATATAAAGTTAACTTGCACCATTCGTTAAAATATAGAAAATTTAACAATTGCAAACATATTTATATTTAATCTTACATAACATATTTCTAATGTTCATAAGAGATACAGGTACCGTGTGCAATTAATACTTTCAATAACTACGGCATCATAATATTGTTCCATGTATCATATCTGTATCAGATTCATTTATGTTTCATGAAACAATATCTTAGTTAGAATAAAATATCCTTAAAGATAAAACATGACATGATTGAATCTCTAAAAAACTCAATCATTAATACCATTGAAATAAAATATGCATATGCTTTAAACAAAAAGGGACATCATAAGACCATCAGATGAACAACCAGAACATCTCGTCGCAACTATCAGCGATAGAAAGAAACTTACTTAATTGATATAGCAAAACTATATACATCTGACTTTTCAGTATGTATATCCTTCCTAAGTATCTCTGGTGCCATATAAATGAGTGTCCCAACCATATTTTTCTTGTGAAATCCACCAGTAGGCTTGCCAGAGGATTTCCAATTCTCCAATGATACGTGTTTAAGATCCTTCATATATGAGGACAAACCAAAATCTGCCAGGTGTGGGCAAAAATTACTATCAAGCTGCAAAAAAAATGTAAGTTACTTTGCGGAAATAGATGGTGCTTAAAATCAAGTAAAAAAATGTGGAAGATAAGTACTAGAATATTTCCAGGCTTCACATCTCTATGCACAACGCCAAGTTCATGCATGTACTGCAGAGCCTTTGCTGAAAATGGAGATTCAATAAAACAAAAATAAAAGTCAGCTACATGAATAGTTTAGAAATTAAAAAAAAAAAAAATTGCAATGACACACCCTTAGTAACTCGAATCCCAGATACCTCCAATGATGTACCTCTAAATATACTACCATAAATCCTTTTAAGAAGTTCTCTTACAACAAAATATATGCAAGCTAACCTTTCTTTTATTTAATCGAAAGAATGCTCAAGATACTAAGATTATTCTTAGAGGTTGGAATTAAGAGTAAGTGAAATATAAGAATACTTTGGGGGGTGCGCAAGTGGGGGCATGTGCCCACCATAAAAGAAAATTATAATTATAGTAATATAAGTCCAATTGATTTTTCAATGTGCTCATGCGACGTGCATCCCATTGCATTTATGTAGTGTGTTCACATGCCTTCAATTTATTTTAATTTTCTCATTTTCAAAATGGTGTGCTTTTCGGTGCAACAACATGCTTTTTTAGGCAGTCATGCACTTTATTGGATTAGTGCACGCTTTTCAAGCAGTTGCATGCTTCTCGGGATTGTCATACATTTTCTAATGCTACTGCGCGCTTCTCGAGGAAGGACACTTGAGTTTAAATTTTATATAGTGATACATGCGAAGACTTAAAACATTCAAATTTTGATTATCTTTGTGCGAGTATTTACTGCTAAAAGGTGTGCAAAGTAGGGGTGCAAACAAGCCGAGCTGAGCTTGAGTCACACCTAACTCGAGCTCAGCTCATCCAATAAATAGTGGGCTTAAGCTCGAGTCGAGCACATGTATTGAGCTCAAGTCGAGCTTATATATTAAGCTCGAGTTCGACTTGCTAACTGAAGTTCGTTGGAGGTAGATGCTCGTTGGCGCTAGAGAAGCCTGTCGGAGAAGGCGATGTAGTGGCAACTCATGTGAAAGTCATCAAGGGCCTCAAGGCAAACATCCCAAATGGAGCAAGGAGTGCACTGCATCTTGTTCTTTTCAAAGAAAAAAATTCTACTAGAGAAGCAGTACAGGCGTGCAGCTCCTTTAATGTTAAAAAGGCAAAGTCTCTTCCGTCTTTTAATGAAGAAAATGACAGCAAGCAGCTTTCAAATTTTTTTAATAAACAAATGCATTTAATGTAGGAAATGATAGTAGCATGCTTTTGAATTTTTTTTAAACTATCGAAAAATAATATTTTAATTTTATTTTAAAACATACAAGCCTACTCATGAGCTAACAAACCGAATTATATCAAACTTGAACTCAGAGCCTGTTTATTACTCAAACTCAACATTATGCTACGAGCCCCTCATCTCCTCAATTTGAATAAAAGAAATAAGTTTGCATAACTGAAATTCATAAAAATATGTTAATTATACAATATAAATCATTGTGTTGAACACTTAATTTAAAACAAATATGCCATATTCAATTATTTTGATGTGTATTCATACGACTTTATTCATTTTTTTGTATGTTTTGCATATTCTATACTATTGACAAATATAGAAGAAAGATTAGAAAAAAGCAATCCAGGAAATCAATTTAAGTAACTAAATCTTAATTTACGAAAGAAAATTACAGATAATAGCATGCCCATTACCTTTAAATATACAATATATAATTATTGAAAGTAGTGCAACATAAATAGCTAAGGTATCAAAATTAAGGGTTTGACAACCCTCGTCTCCTAATTTTATGCTATACAAACCCCGTAGGCCCTACAAAGCCCTTAAGTTTATTCCTTATAGATGTGAGACTCTAAAATACAACAAGAAAAATAAGCCTTTATCCCACCATGTGGGGTCAGCTACATAAACCTTTTTTTTCTAAATTTTGTCCAATTAAGGGTCAAATTCTCACCTAAATCTAATAAAAAATTTTGATTTTTACTACTTTCTAACCAAATCTTTAAAAGTCTACGTTTACCTTTCTTAACATAGGTTGGATCTAATACATCTGCTCTCATAGTTGGGTCATCAAATAGATGACGTTTTATGTGACCAAACGATCTTAAGCGACTATCTCTATACTTATTTGCCACTAGAGCTACTCCAATATTAGGGGTTCTACAATGCAATATAAATATCTTGGATGTTCCCTACACACTTCTTTTGGGTGTCATCAACCAACGATTAAATAAGTTTTGTGTGTGTGCTAGGGATAAAGAATTTTTTTTTATAGTTTAAATTTTTTAATCAATAGTTGATCTTTTAAGCTAGTTAATAAGGATTATTTTGAAAAGAGTTCAAATAATATCTTAGGTATATTTGATGCATTTGATGTGGTATCAAGGTGATTTTTTGCTCAAACATAAAACAATTTTTTTTTGCTTAAACATAAAAGAAGAATGTGTTTTGAATTAAACCAACATGCATGGGAAGGCGACTATGCCATTTATATGAGTGTTCAACATTATAAAAACTTCTAGCCAAATGAACCTTTACGTGTTGATGCTAAAAGAAGGAAAATTTCATGTACCATTAATTCTTCTTGTCAATAACAATCATTGTACCAAATAATGACCCATTGGAAGTAATATAACTGAGAAGATGTAATATTTCCTTAGTTTAACACCACCATAGGCATAAAAATTAGCTCATCTACCAACAAGAGGGAAATAATGTACCCTTCTCTCATGAAACCTTTTTTGCAAAGAGATAAATGCAAGGGACTTCCCTTATTACATTTCATTACATAAAAGTTTATAGATCACAAAACCAACAAACTCTTCAATTTTCCTTAACATTCCAGTTTTCCTCAGCACCAAACATAGCTGTCAATGGCGCAAAATAGTGTGCGCCATGGCGCACAGCGCGGCGCGGCGCACCTACGGCGCCATGTTCATGGCGAGGCGCATTTGTTTAAAATAGCGCGTGCTATTTGCGCCACATGTGAGCCACGACGCAAAATAGCACGTCAAATTGTTTTTAAATTTCGGTATACTTATAAATATTTTTTATATTTAAAAATATATCTATATTTTAAGATAAACGACTGTTCATTGCTCTAATTTCACGAAAGATTTTCTGTTTGTTGCATCCGCCGAACACATCCCGCAGTCCCTAAGTCGAGGTCGTTGAATCTATCCCGAAGTCGAAGGTTTTCTATTTTCTATTTGCTGCATTCGCTGCTTCCGCCTAATCTGTCCCGAAGTTGAAGTCGTTGTTTCCGCTGAATCGTCCCGCAGAGCAGTGCTTCTGCCAAATCCTCCCCCTCCTTCGTCTGTTCCAATAAAAAATCTTACCAGCTGACTCCGATTTGCAACCTCCATCTGTTCCGCACAGCTCCGTTGTTTTGCACGGCTATTTCTTACAAGAATTTATAACTTAACAGGTATGCTCGGTACTGCTAGGTACATGCTCGGTACCGCTAAGTAAATGCTCGGTACCGCTATGTATATGTTGGAGACCGCTCGATACCGCTAGTTACATGCTCTGTACCGCTTGGTACAGCTCGGTATCGCTAAGTACATGCATGATACCGCTCGGTACCGCTATGTAAATGCTCGGTACCGCTCAGTACATGCTCAATACTGCTAGTTACATGCTCTGTACCGCTCGGTACAGCTCGGTACAACTAGGTACACGCTCGGTATCGCTAAGTACATGCATGATACCGCTCGGTACTGTTATGTAAATGCTCGGTACCGCTCGGTACATGCTCGGTACCGCTAGTTACATGCTCTGTACCGCTCGGTACAGCTCGGTACAACTAGGTACAAGCTCGGTATCGCTAAGTACATGCATGATACCGCTCGGTACCGCTATCTAAATGCTCGGTACCGCTCGGTACATGCTCGGTACCGCTAGTTACATGCTCTGTTCTGCTCGATACAACTAGGTACACGCTCGGTACCGCTCCCTAATTTCCATACAAACGAACTTCAAAATTTCTCTTACAAATAAATTTTGTTCCGAGGGCGCTACCCACGAAAACCCCCACAAGGGCGCTGCCCCTTGACCCTGCGACCTGACTTGGCAGGTCGAACCCCTCCAGGGGGGAGCGCCCCCTTGGACCCCCGGCAGCCCCCATATTATGTTTCTTGGACAATATTATGTTTCTTTTATCTAAATTTATTTGCTTTTAGGTGATCATAAAATGTCAGATTCAGTTCAATCTTTAAAAAAAAATCCAGCATGGAAATATGCTATACTAACAAATGAATTCGACAACAACAGTGTGGCATGCATTTTTTGTGGTAAAATAACAAAAGGAGGAATTACACGCCACAAACAACACCTCGTTGGGGGTTTTAGGAATGCAAAACCTTGCTCTAATTGTCCCGAGCACGTGAAGTCTGAAATTAAGACATCCATGTTGAAAAAAAAAAGATTTAAAGGAACAGTTTAATGACATATCAAATGTCAACCTTGCTGAAGAAGAAGGAGAAGACTTTGATGTGATGACAGATGATATTTTAGTTTCCAAACCATCCAAAATGTTGTGGACAAATAAATCTAACACATCTAGTCAAGGATCGACATCTACATCTATCTTCAAAACATCACGACCTAAAAGTCCATTAGATACGTTCCTTACACCAAATCCTGAAGATGTAGTAAAGCATAGAAAATGTCAGTTTAACAAAGAAATGGATGCAGCTAAAAAAGAAATGAGAGGAAGGGATGTTCAAGTGTTCAGTAGATGGATGTATGATGCTGGGATTCCATTTAATGCTGTGAACTATGATAGTTTCCCTGCTATGGTAGATGCACTAGGGCTGTTTGGACCTGGTATGATACCTCATAGTTATCATGAGGTACGAGTTACTTGTTTGAAGAAAGAGGTTGGACATACACATAAGCTATTACGATGCCATCAAGAAGATTGTCTACAATATGGTTGTTCTCTTATGGCAGATGGATGGACGTCGAAGAATGGGAAAAACTTAATCAATTTTCTTGTTAATTGTCCAAGAGCTAGTGCATTCATAGAATCAATTGATGCTAGTTCTTTCTCCAAGAATGCTGTGAAAATGTTTAAACTTTTTTGCAAGTACATTGAGGTTATTGGACCACATAATGTGATCCAAGTGGACTGATAATGCATCCGGAAATGTTCTTGCAGGTTTGTCACAACTTTTATTCTAAAGTTATGTTATTTCATGAAGAATTTGTATATATCTTAACTTAAATTATAATGACATAACAGGAAAATTATTGATGGACAAATATCCTCATATTTATTGGACTCCTTGTGCTGCTCACTGTTTGGATTTAATAATGGAGGACATTTTCAAAATTCAAAAGCTAAGGCGATGCTTTGAGAAAGCAGTGGCAGTACACAGTTTTATATATTCTAGGCCTCGCTTACTTGAGTTAATGAGAATGTGCACAAATCGAAGAGCACTTGTCAAACCCGCAAAGACTCGCTTTGTAACAGCTTTCTTAACTTTAAGACATTTTCATCAACAACAACTGAACTTGAAGAAAATGTTTATTTGTGAGGAATTTATCTTGGGTCCTTATGCGAAAGAGGCTAAAGCAAAACAATCTCAACATACAATCTTACAGCAATCATTTTGGAACACTATAGTGTATGCCTTAAAAATAGTATTCCTCCAGCTGTAAGACAAAGAACTACCCGATCTCCAGGTATCATTATTTACAAAAAATTAAGACTGATTTGTTATATAATATTGAAAAAAATTCATTTCTTCCAGCTGATTGGTGGTTGGCATATGGACAAGGAGCTCCCAATTTACAAAGCTTTGCTATCAAAGTCCTAAGTTTAATATGTAGTTCATCTGGATGCGAACGCAATTGGAGTATTTTTGAACATGTAAGTATTTTATAATGTATGTGTTGATTTTTTATATATGTTCATTATATAGTAATGTAATAATATTTTAATTGCAGCTTCATAGCAAACGAAGAAGCAAATTGGATCATGGTCATTTAAAGGATTTAATTTATGTGAAATATAATAGAGCACTGATTCGGAAATTCAATCATCGTGATGTCATTGATCCTATTTCTTTGGCTGAGATAGATGATGCAAATGAATGGCTAACAGGAAAATTAGATGATGAGTCTGATGAAGAAAATGACTTTATTGCTGGAGAGGAAGATTTAACTTGGACAAGTGTTGCTAAAGCTACTGGTGTTTATGATAAAAGCTATAATATACGGGAAAAATCTAAAGGGAAAGAGAAAGAATCTTTAATGATGCATGATGTTGCTATTGAGAATGATGATGAGGGTGATGAAGAGGGTTATGAAGTAGGAGACAATGTTGATGAAGATAATGAAGCTTTTTTAGCATTTGATGATGAAGATTCCCAAAAAGAGTAGATTAAATTCTTATTTGATCTTTTAAAAAAAGATTGTAATATTTGAATTATGAGATATTTGGATGTTACTTAGTCGAACTTATATATGTTATGGTTATCTTTTATTATTATGATAGTTTGTCTTTCATTTTTAATAATGTTTCATATTCATGCTTATTATTTCATAATTTTTATATAGCTTTCACCATGTTCAAAATAGCGCGCGCCGCACCGTGCGCTATGTGCCATGGCTCCAAAGGGACCTTTGCGCCATGGTGCACCATTCGCCGTTAACAGGTATGGCACCAAATCAATAAGAAGAGTTTTCAGGCACAAAAATATGAATGATGAGTTTTGCAAAGCAAAATCACAGCAATGAGCCACCCCCACTACTAGCCATGGAGTAGTTTCAACTCACTCAGGTTGGACTTATATTTGTCATTGATAAAGGCCTCTCTGTTAATGAAAGGCTCCCAAGATGAGAAAATAAGGTTCCTAGTTCCTCAAGAGTCTTCTAGTTGAGTTCAAACAAAGCATTTTGATAATGAATAATAGAAATAATATAGATTTCCCATAAGCCAATAGCATGACTTAGAATATAGCTCTGGATATGTTATTCAAGGAGCAGTCATGGTTCTATGATCATATAGCCATATACGGTAAAACTAAAACAAATGAAATTATATAGTAACTATGATTCTACAGAAGAGATATAATTCATAATTTTAGCCTTCGTTTTTATCTATTCATACACAGTCTATCATTCTCTAACGCGATGGTCATCAGTAGCTGGGGTGAACATCTAATGAAACCATACTAAACTTTTCCAGAAGATGTAAAAAGGGGGTGAGACCGATATGAAGTAAAAGTGAAACTAAAATAGCCACTCTTCTTATGAGCAAGCTCATAAAGGCCAACATCTCTGTGTGAGCAACAGATGAGACCAAGAGTCTTAGCAAAAAGCGTCTGCTGAGAACATTGAACAGCAGGGAGGACAAGGAAGGTGATAAACGATCTTAGGGGGTTCATAATGTAGAAGTTTCTCAAACCAGTTAAGAATTATCACAAGTGACATGTTTATCAAATAGACAATTAGCGGTCAGCGAAATAAGCAGACAAATTGAAAATATGAGAGCCATGGAACAGAAGAAAGAAACCAATAACAGTAACGTTGAAGCCATACCCAGATCATAAGCGATCACAAGGGCTTCATCTACGGAAGGACTCCACTCTTCCACATGCACTTTATGAGCCAAACTTCCCATTTCATAGAACTCAAAGAAGAACATATAATTCGGCGGCCTAGCATGTGCTGCAACCAGCTTCGCCAAGCCCGGGTGGTCCAATTTGCTTCAAATTCCAAATTAGTAATCACGCTTCATGAAGAAACAAAAACGACTTCTACAAAATTGGCAACCTTTCGTACCATAAAAGTTGCAATTCGCGGTGGAACTTGTCGATGTTCTCCGAGGTGGAGAGAATGGGCTTCTTAGCAACGACCTTCTGGCCTTGGAGCCTTGCTTCAAATACAGTGCTTTCGGAGCCTTTAATCAGAGAAATGACATCGTCACCAAAGAAGAAAGAGCGTTTGTGACGGTGTTTGAAGTACATACTAATTTATATTTATTCTTACCTCGAGCAATCGTGGAAAGAAGAGAATAAGAAGAGGGTGGAAAATGGAGGCGGATGCCCTCGCTCGAGCAGCAGCCACGAAAGCAGGTATTGGCTTCCACCATCTCCACCATGCTTTCTACTAACAGAGCCGGAGCCACACCACAGGATGATATGGGGCGGGGGCGGGGGCGGGGGGAAGAGATTCGCTGCTTAGAGGAGAGAAAAGTTCCGTGGAAATAGGAGGGACGTCCTGGCTTGATTAGGAGTTGAAATTCGAGCCGAGGGAGAATGAATGCGAAGCTCAGAAGAGAAGTTTCGTGGAAAAAGGAAGGCTGTCACAACAGATTTGGTTCGGTCGGATCAGAAATTGACCGATCCGAATCTGGTGGATTGGAATCCCACGTCAAAAAAGGTGAATTCGAATTCGAACCCTTAGCATTCTGAATTTCACCATATAACTCATTTTAATAAATAAAAAATACTAACTGCCTAATTATAAATTTTGAATTAATTAATAAAAAATAAGAAAATTATACTAAGAAGTAAACAATTTAAGAAAAAAATTAAACTAATCATTTTTGGATCAATATCGGATTTGCGGGTCAACCCAAATCTGACTCGTTTAATAAACCGGTTAGAATGCGCAACGAGAGCTTGAACTATTTATTAAACGGGTCAACCCGAATTTGAACTTTTTTAGTCAGATTTGAGTAAATTTGAGTTAGGTTGATGGATCGGGACATTTATTGATACCCCTAAAAATTAGAGTTATAAATTATAGTTTATAGATCACATTTAGGTTCAACTCATGGTTCAATATGAATAAAATAAATTTTATAGATACATAAATAAATCTCAATATGCATGTATCCCAATTAATCCAAAAACCTACCTAATATGAAACAAAATATATTTAAATTTTGGGGGTTAATATTCTTAGGATCCGGAATGGACACAATTATCTTATTTGGATACTACAACTTAATAAAAATAATAAAAACTTTATAAATTGTTATGAGTTTTTTTTCATTAAAAAAAGGAATTAAATATTTAAATTAGTATTTTTCTAGTTAACTTAAACTTTACTTGACATGACCCGACCTGAATCAATTTTTTCTAGTCATTAAGCCTATTTGAATCTGCCTTGAACTCATATTACTTGTGTGAGATTTTCATATCGCATCCAATACTAACAATCCTATGTTTGATTATTAAATTCTGACACTACTAGAATTTTTCTTTAATTTTTAAAGTAGGATAAGTATTTATTTTATTTAAAGTTAATGAAATTAAATATCCATTCTTTTTTAACAATATTTGGGCCAATTAATATAAACTCGCACACACATCATATACGCAAGTTTCGAACCCAATACCTCTTGGTTGGTAGCCAAAACTCCCAACCAATAGACAAAAGTGAGCTGCGTGAAATTTCATTCTTAAATTCAGACAGATTTCGATCACTCTAAGAACACATAGACTTATATGTTGAGTCACTCAACATGTAACTTGATTTATATGTGTTAACAACCAATATATTGCTTTAACCTTTTTTTGTAGCCATGTTGCTCAAACAGAGTAACCACCAAAGCAATAAAGATGTGATCATTTACAAGGCATAGTTTGTTGTATCAAATCAAGAGCATTTATATAGTTGCTAGGTGTTAAGATCATGAGGTAACTACTACAAAGTTGAACCAATAAGTCATCATTGTGTTCTTTTTCTCTCGTCAAATGCAAAGATGTCGATGAAAAAGTTGTATGATTCTAAGTCGAGCTAGTAGGGCCTCCTTTTTTAACTCTCTTCTCTCGGGGTAGGAAGTATCTCAGGGCAAAGATTTGTATATCTTCATTGAATTTCCATCGACCTATATCTCCATCTCAACTTATGGCAATTACTTTTGTGATCTTATTCATGGTGATCTTGCTGTAATATTTGGCTTTGAAGGACAATTTTGCTCAAGTGAACTCCACTGACATCTATTGTCGTTGAATCAATGCTCCATTTTAAGTCAACAATACGCACAAACCTATGTGAATACAATTAGATGACTCTTTTATAAGATGTCGTTCATACAAGTGGTGACTTACATAAGTTGTTGGTCATGTAGGGTTTCGCTAAATACTAAGAAGTAAACATTACAAAGGTTAGCTCCAACGAAGTTGTGAAGGAACCTATCACCGCCACAATCATAGTTTCCTACATATCATGTATGTCATCATCAGTTACTGCTAGCAAGGAACTATATGTGATATGAGCTAAGTACTCAAAATTGCATTCATGTTAATTTAGATAGAATATTGTCGTTTTAGTTATGAAAAGTGGATGGTATTAAACTCATAATTTTATCTGTAATGTGTTCCTGCCAACATCTGTCACTATCCCAAATGCGCACGGAAAATACTTGGTCATAATTTTGCTAATTTGGTGGGCAATGCATTTTTCAAAAACAACAACATCAATCCTTAAAGGCTAACAACACTCAGACAATGAGATTATATCTCAATGCAGAGCAAACTATATAATCTAACAATTTCTTTAAAAACAATTTTATAATATAAGATTATCATTTAATTTTGAATAAGACAAGAAATGAGTCATCTTAAAAAAATATATCTATAACTTTTTTTTTTTTATTGTCTCTAAGGTCCTAGGTAACCCTAAGAAGTAATATAAATGCAAATCCTACCCATGCCTATATAAAACAGGCAAAGCAACATATTTTTTGAAATGTTTCTTTCTAGTTTTGGCTTTCCTACATTTAAAGCATTTCTTTAATAACCCTCTCAACATTCTTATTTGTGAGACCAATAAAATCAACTCTCTGTCAAGCTAATAATTTTATTATTGCAAAAATGACATTCAATCCCACCAAAATATAACTATATTTAAAAAAAAAAAAAATCTCCCAAAGAGGATACATATTGGTTTTCCCTATTTTGACAACCACCAAAATATCTATGAACTTCCACAATTAAAATTATATGTATATGATCTTTGATAAAATATGAAATCAAGATAATAAGGATCGTCTTCCTTAATCAAATATTGTCACCCTTTTCTTTTTTTCATTTAAGCTGAATAGGGGAACCTAGGGCATCATTCTAAACCTCGTCTTTTCTTCCTCGTCACAATCGTCACCATCCTTCCTTCCTCCTCCCTCCTCATTCCTCCTGCTGTAAGTCCCTCCTCCAATTGTGAGTTCATCCTTTTCTCTTTTTCTCTTCTTCTTCCTTGTTCTTCTTCTTCCTTATGTTATGATAGATTTCAATTACGGCAATATATTTTTTAGTTATTTTGTTTATGGAATGAGGTGTTTAAATTTGATAAATTTAATATTTTAATTTGCATATTTAATTTCTTTTAATTGAAGTTTAGATCTTCACGTAGGACCTTTGAGTTGTAGCTTTTGTTGGTTGGATATCATATAGTCTTAGAGCTTTATGTCACTCTCTTAGAGGCAAGTAATTGTTATTTCTTTTGGTGTAAGTGTACCATTCTTTGTGAGGGGCGTAATTCGTAATATTTATTATAAATCTTTTATAATTATTTAAGTTGCTAGTTCTATTTCCATTTTTTTCTTTTTTTTTCTCTTTCTTTCTTTTTTTTTCTTTCTTTTTTTTCAATATTTATTAGTATTGTATATATCAAGGATCTTATTTATGGCTCACATTGAAATCATCATGTAGTAAATCTATGTTGTTGCTCATAAGAAATTAGGAAGTTTTATAAAAAAAACGTTCTTCATTTATTGTTGTATAACCTCATGTATATAAAATTTTCTATCTTCATGCATGATTTTATTTGAATGCAATAAATATATTTTTGAAAATCATATCAATTTTGTTTATTGCAGTACATGATATTCATGTTATAAATCATGTTGATAATATAATGGTAATTGTCATGTTGAATTACATAACACATGTTGATTATTTATAACAACACTTACACTTTATGATTGTGAGTATGTCAGCATGACCCTATTGATTTTTGGCTAGCCAAAGTCGATGGGCCCCAGAGTGATGACTCTATAGGAAATCATTGGATTCCCTTGGGTTGGAGTTTATGTTCTTGGTGATGGGCATATGATAAATTGATAATAAATATATATGTATAAATGTCAGAAAATATAAGTGTATATGAATTAAAAATAAGAAATGACTTACAGGTCATTGTGAGGTACAAGGATACCTTATGTGATACATTTGTAAACATTATAATAATTTGGCATCAATAGCTAATTGGCATATATACATGCATATTAGAATATGTTGTAGAAAATATAGCATATCTCATGCCAGTTTTTGATATAGTGATTAAAGGTTATTACTCCCCTCTTTTGATTATTCACATTACATGTCCATTCTTTTTGCAGTTTATGTTTTGATAAATATTAGTTATTTGCTGAGTTTGATTTAACAAACTCATTTGTTGTCTTTTTCAGTAGGTCCTGCAGGAGTGTGTGGTGGACCGCTATCTCAGGAGCAAGGTTACCAGCAGTAGGTTGTTTTTGTATTTATCATTTTGTAGTAGTTTATTTTCACTTCTTGATTATATGGGTTGTGTAGTTTTCTTTCTTGCATTTGTTAAATTTGCATTCCTCTGGGCTTGTATCAAAATTATTGTTATTTGTATATATTGGTTATTTAAACTTCTATTAATGAATTAGCTCTTTATTTCACCTTCCAGACCCGGGATATGACAGTTCTTAAATAAATCACTATACTCAATGAACAACTTTTGTCTGGCTTGATTAATACTCATTAATATTCATTCAAGCTAGTAATTGAACAAATTTGATTATTTTTTAGAAGCTAGAAAGTTAGATGAACCAAGCTTGAACAAACAACTTGTTTATTAACATTCACAAATAACTTGTTTGTTATTCAACAAGTAACTTGTGAAAGACGTGATGACGGTTTCGATTAAAAATTATGAAATACAACTTGTTTAATATAAATATATTATAAAACTATTTATCAAGCTAAGTTATTTTCAATGTGTCTACTTTTCAATATTTCAAATATCATTCAACACTTTTATCACTTATAGTCTCCATAGTTTGGTTGCTCATGCATTGAGGGTTGCATCCATATGAGAGCATCATTAGATTGTGCTAAGAATGAAAACATTCATATGAGAAAACTCATCTTCTCCAAAACACTTGTGAATATCATATGAAGATAAAAAATTTTGTACTAAAAAGTTGCTTTAAGAAGTAAGAAAGTCGTCCCAAATGAAGCATTAATGAGGATTTGGCCCAACACTAAGATGAGTCCATATAAAATGTAAGTGAGACTTGATATTCATAAATTTGGCATGAATTCAGATTATAGTTTAATGTAGTTAGGGTTTGTGTCTCTGCATTTAGCAAAGATGATTAAAAAGAATCAAGCTTTATGAATTTGATACAAACTTATCTTAGAATTTGAGATTTATTTTAGGAGAAGAAACCCTAACTTTTTGTTAGCTCGACCATATTATTATGTTTTATTGTCCTACTATCAAGAAGGTCGAAAGAATCATCCTATGACTAGCAACTCTACATTTAGAGATCATGGTGAAAAAATATAATTTGTGTATGAAGAACTTATAGGAATTTAGCACAGCCCAAAAATAATAACGAAACTTACATTCCTAATGTTTAAGGGAAGCCAAAATGTGCCTTCTATTTCAACATCTGAGACAACTTTCTTACTGCTCTCTAAAACAGCCTTTTAGTACAAAATTTTTTAATTCAAACTATTCTTTTGCTAAAAAATTGCTTTAAGGCTTCGTTTGGGACAGCTTTCTTACTGCTTCTTAATCAACTTTTAAGTACAAAAATTTTAATTTTTGTTCTAAAAAGCTGTTTTAAGTAGTAATTAAGCCACCACAAACAAAACCTAAATAGTAAGAAAGTCGTCCTAAACGAAACCTATATGAACCCATAGATAGATTTGATTGGTGCGTTAATTTATTAATGCCTTGGGGGCAATTTGGTATTCAAATAATTGATTCAAACTTTATAACAAATCTATTGGGCTTTTGCATCCTGTGAATTAGGAGCCATTATAACCTTTGACTACCCCCTTTAGAATTGCAATTAGGTGACCTATTTTCCAAGTGAGGTCTTCTTTCTTCTTAGATCACTACAATTCAATAGAATTAAAAAAAAAAGTAGAGAGAATAAATAAAATAATTAGTATGATTTTTATTAATTTTGAGAAGATATAATCACGAATTAAAGAATTGATTTTGTTATCTTAAGAAAAAAAGAAAAAAGCTTGTAAATATGCATTGACATTATTAAATATAAATAACAATGCATTAATTAAGAGAAAATTATTTATAGAGTGATTACAAAAATATTAAAAATGAGATGCTATAATTCTACTTTATGAGACATTCATTAAAAAATGAAAAAAATAAAAAGTATTTAGAAGATATATAACTTAAATTAATAAAACTAAGACTGAGTATATGATAAATAAATTTAATAAATATTATATTAATAATCATTATTTAATATTATTTTTAAAAAATGATGAATAGATTTAATAAATTTTAAGTATCTTGAATGTATTATATAACAGAATGAAATTATCAAAAAGAATATAATTTCTAGAGTTAAAATCAAATTGTTAAACAAAAAATTTCATAAAAAAATGCCTCAATTTGACATGCTTTAAAGTTAAAATATAAAGCCTTATTTGACCACTCAAAACCTCCAAAATTCATATTACACTAACAAATTAATAAAATTGACTCAAATCAAATCCAAATGATTAGAATAGGCTTCGTTTGGTACAACTTTCTTACCGCTTTGCTTTTCCAGACCTCGACTGCAAAAATTTCTGTTTGACCATTATTTTTTGCTGCTTTAAAAAAAAAATTATCCTAAAAAGTTATTTTCTACAATAGTTTTAAAAAATTACTTTCTCTATAACAGCTTTACAAAACAGTAAGAAAGCTATCCCAAACGAAACCTAAGACTAAAAATGATACATTTTAAACATGATTTATCTAAGGTGTGCAAGATAAATAAGCCGTTCTTATCACAACATGCTAGGAATGATCTTCATGCCTAGCAATTCCTCCATTATTAAAAATATTATTCAGAATGTACAGTGCCAACACTTCTCTCATCTTTCAATCCCCAGATCATAGATGGAATATACACTCAATCTAAAACATTGGCATCTTAATGACAAAGCAATCACTGGTGAAATAAATTAAACCTAAAATAGATTTAAGATAATTTTCTTAGATATTTGAATTAGAAATTATCATACTAGCAAGGCATCATTGTTTTCTTCAACCTCCAGCTTTGCCATCCCAAGCAACCTTGATTGGTGCTGCTCCAGGTACTCTCTACTGTTCATTTCTGTCAACCTGAAGGGTGCAAAATATGTAAGAGATTCGGACTGTTCTGGCAATATTCTGGTTCAGTAAAGGTTATTTCCATACCTACTGATAGTTCTTTCTTTGGCAAATCCAAGCTCATTGTCCACACAAAGGTCAAGATCATCTCCCTTGAGAGAGCGCGATGAGCTTCTTGGAGACATCCTTTGAGCATCAGCAATGGTAACAATTTTTTCAAACAGCTCTATTGGAGATGTCTCAGCTGTGCATAAAAGCCTGGATTTGTTCTCATACATCACCTGCGAAGGGAGACCTTAGTATGAATTCCATGGAAATGTCGTAAAGGAAGCCATATGGCTACCTGCTTGATATCCATAATCCAATGAAGAACAGGCTCTCAAATATGCCAACAGTAGTCCCAATCAAGATCTTTAGAAATAATTGTTTAGATAAAAATGCAACCAATCAGCCTGAAAGGTATGAAACTGATTGGTCTGCAAAAACTAGTTTCATTTGTGTAATTCATACATTCATTGCATCATTTAGTTGTATTAGGAAACCTAAACACTAAACTGTCCACATCACTATCAAATGAAGTTCATGAGGAACTTGGAGCGACAATAATGCACTCAATGATGTAAATGGATGGCTATGATGATATAGACTATTGTGACTCAGTTTGGGATATATATACACATTAGCAAGAAACCAAGTCCATTCAGAAAAGAATTCAACTATATTAAGATTGAAAAGAAATGCTAATAGTCTAAAAATATTAATTAATAAATTTACTGTTTATCAAAACGTTCTTTCAAAATCTCATTCAGTATCACTGAGTTGAAGAAATCATTCCTATTTGACAGTTCATTATATATTAAATAATACTCCATAAGTAATTTAGATGTTACAGCAAGAGCATGGGCCCTCAACATTCTTGTAAGGCTTCGTTTGGGACGGCTTTTTTACTGCTTTCTAAAACGGAGTTTTAGTACAAATTTTTTTATTTTTGTACTAAAACTCCGTTTTAGAAAGCAATAAAAAGACCATCCCAAACGAAGCCTAAGTCTGTGATCACTTTGGAAAATAAATTTATTAGGCTATGTTTCTATAGAAGTATGATTGGAGATTGATCAAATTGGTTAAAATTAATCTGATTGTATCTCAAAAGTGAGAATCATGAAATAATCACATTGTTGTGTTCATTTTCTTACACCCAACAACTTCAAGTTTGCTTAACATGTTTTTTTTGTCTTTATATTCTTAATTAAATAATCAATCAAAAACAAACAAAAATTACATAGGGTTGTCAACTGGGTTTATTTCTGAAAATTCGATGCAAAACTATTTTGGTTCACGCAAATAAATACTAATCATATTAGACAAAATAGCATGTGTAGGACACCTAAGCATACTGAGAATGATTCAAAATAGGGGCATAAATGAATCGGAAAGCCAATGGACAAGGATAAAAAAATGTTAGTCTGGCCCGGGAGGGGCCGGCTCTGGTCCAGGGACCTAGACCGGTTCTCTGCGACAGCAGGCGGCCCAGGCCAAGTGGTGGGCAGAACCAAGGGGAGGAGGGTAGATGCCCTAGTAGGCCAATTGCTTAATGTAATCGTTGTTTAGGAGACAAAGTTTGAATTAAGGACTGTTTAGTCTTTTTGTAAGAGTTCTTTGACTTCAATTAGTATTTTTGGTTAGGGTTTGCTTTGCATCTTGAATTTGGAAGATATTTGAGATATATGGTTTGTTCTTTTTGGGCTCTAGGCTTTGCTAGAGATTTGGAGAGTTGTTTCTTCCTCTCAAATTGAAAAAACTTGTATCTTGTATTGTTTTTCCTGTTAGTGGATTGAATAAAGAAGTTATCATCGTGTTTTCTCCCCAATCTTCTGAAATTCCTGCATCGTTTTACTGATTTTTCTCTGAAATCAGCCTATTTTTTGCTGTTTTCACCAAGTATTCATAGGTTTGCTTGCGAACTTAAGTATTCCCCCTTAGGGTTACTTGCGAACCCAAGTACTTCCTTTCAAATTGGTATCAGAGCGTTGTCTTAGGACCATCGGCGGCTGAAATTCTGAAATTTCAGCGGATAAAGTTCATACGGAAGAAGATCTTCTCGTAAATCTTGGGAAGAGTTATGGCCAGGAAGAAGGTTGAAGTTTTGGAAGGAGAAATTGAGCAACTAAAATCAGATTTGGAGGGAAATTTTTCTGATTTTCAAAATTAAATTTCATTCAATAATGAAAGAATGGAAGGGAAGTTCGCCGTGATGGAAGAGATGTTGAAGAAATTGCTAGAGGTGAAGACCAATCCGACGACATCAGAAGAAATGGAACCATCAGCGGCCATGTAAGAGGTGGAAACCCTAATATGTTTAGGGGAAGAGGAAATCCGAAAGTGGAGATCTTGGAGGGTGAAGATGGAATGCCTCCTCTAGAATCACTAAAGGGAGGAGATGAGCACTGGTTTCGAAAGAAGGGTAGCTGATTTTGTAGGGAGAATGGATGATTTCTACCGTAGAGGTGCTAAATTTGAAAGAAGAAGAGGGGAATTTGATGAAGGGGTTGGGTGGTATGATCGTCGGAGGGAAGATCATGACAACTGGGGAGCACCTCCTCTTCGCGAAACGGGAGGATATGGAGGATTCAGTGGCAACGGGGGTGACCCGAATGTGAGGAAGCTAAAGATGCTCATCTTTGAGGGCGGGGATAGCCATGGTTTGATCTACAAGGTGGAACAATATTTCTCCATCAATGGGTTGACGGAGGAAGAGACACCGACGACGACAGGGCTATGTTTAGACGGGAAGGCACTGGCATGGTACCAATGGTGTGACATGAGACAACCCATCAGGAGCTGGAGGGAGTTCAAAGAGTGCTTACTAGAACACTTCCGAACCGATAGAGGAGGAGACTTCTATGAGGAATTATTTTCCATGACACAGGAAGAACAGTAGCAGATTACGGTGACAGGTTCGAATACTTGGCCAGCATATTAGATCGACTCTCTGAGATAGTGCTGGAGGGGAACATTATGAGGGCTTAAACCAGAGATACGGGCAGCAGTTACAGTGATGAGACCAAGAGACTTGGGGGAGGCCATGAAGCTAGCCCAGTTGGTGAAGGATCAGAAGCAACTGGAGATAAGGGCTAGGAGGAGCAACTTGGGAGGGACGTACAAGATGACCACCACCTAGCTCCCAAGGGGCCAACGCTAGGGATTCTGAAGAAAGTGCCCAATGAGAGAACTAGAGGAGAGGGGAAATGGAGAAAAAATTTCAAAAGGCTGACTGAGAAGGAGATACAGAAGAAAAGGGAAAAATGGTTGTGTTTTAAATGTGATGAGAAGTACATGCCGAGGCATAGGTGTAAGGATTAAACTCTTCAAGTTCCCATTATCTGTGATGACGAGGAAACAGAAGAGAGAGGTGGGTGGGTTAGAGATGGAGGAAGAGGAGAAATTGCATCTTGATGTGGCAGAAGTCTTCATAAACTCAGTAGTGGGATTCACTCCGAATCACACTATGAAAGTGAAGGGATAAATAGTTGATATAGAGGTGGTAGTGTTAATAGATAGTGGGACAACCCACAATTTCATCTCCACTCAGATTGTGGATCTGTTATGGGTGAAATTAGTGGATATAGGAGGCTATGTGGTGATGATGGGCACGAGAAAGGTGGAAATGGGTAGAGAAGTGTGTAAGGGAGTGGTGTTGACCATTAAAGGGATCCAGGTGAGGGAGGACTTTCTTCTCTTGGCGTAGTGGAGTATTGATGTCTTCTTAGAGATGAAATGGCTGCAGACCTTGGGGGAGACCAAGGTCAATTGGGGAGCACTGAGGATGGAATTGGTGGTGGGAGGAAGGAGGATGATGATCCAAGGTGATACAAGGCTGTCCAGAGCCGGAATATCTCTCAAATCCATGATCATAACCATAGAGGAGGTGGGAGGTGGGAGGTGGGAGTTGGACATTTGGTGGAATTGCAACGCTTGGAGAGTTTCAATGTAGGGGAAGGAGACATTCTTCTTGCAGTACAACCACTCATACAACAGTTCAGTGAGGTGTTATAGCCACCTCAAGGTTTACCACCACCCAGAGAGCAGGAGCATGCAATCTTTTTGGAAGGGGTGTCACCGATTAGTGTACGACCCTACCGCTACCCCCAAATTCAGAAGGATGAGATTGAGAAGCTAATTAAGGAGATGTTGAAAGCAGGGATCGTCAGACCAAGTGTGAGTCCTTTCTCTAGTCTAGTCTTTGTGGTAAAAAAGAAGTATGAGAGCTGGAGGTTTCGTGTGGATTACAGGGCGTTGAATAAGAAAACTGTGCCGGATGAATTCCCCATCTCAGTGATTGATGAACTACTAGACGAGTTATATGGAGAAACAGTGTTTTCTAAGATGGACTTGAAGTTGGGCTATTATCAAATTAGGATGGAGGAGGATATTCAGAAGACGGCCTTCAGGACGCACGAGGGGCACTACGAGTTCTTGATGATGCCATTTAGGCTCACTAATGCCCCTGCTACTTTTTAGTCTTTGATGAATAGGGTATTCCAGAAGTACCCAGGAAGTTTATTCATGTATTTTTTGATGACATTCTGGTGTACAGCAAAACAAGGGAGGAGCATCTAGAGCACTTGAAGGAGGTTCTGAAAGTTTTACAGGAGTATCAGCTGAGGGTCAACCTAAAAAAATGCGGCTTCACTTAGTCTAGAGTGGAGTACTTGGGACATGTAGTGTCCCAGGAGGGAGTGGCGGCCGATCAAACAAAAATTGAGGCAATGCATAAATGGCCTACGCCTAGGAATATTAGGGAGTTGAGGGGTTTCCTAGGACTGACTAGGTACTACATGAGATTTGTGAGGGGGTATAGTACCATAGCTTGGCCCTTGACCGAGCAACTGAAAAAGGACAAGTTTTTGTGGGGAGAGGCAACAACCCAGGCTTTTGAGAGATTGAAGAAAGCCATGGTAAGTTTTACGCTGGTTGTCGACTACCTAACGCAACCCTCCACTTTTCTCATCCAGAACTTGGGACCTGGCAACGGCAGTGTTACTTGCGAACCCAAGTACTTCATATCAAATTGGTATCAGAGCGTTGTCTTAGGACCATCGGCGGCTGAAATTATGAAATTTCAGCGGAGAAAGTTCATCCGGAAGAAGATATTCTCGTAAATCTTGGGAAGAGTTATGGCCAAGAAGAAGGTTGAAATTTTGGAAGGAGAAATTGAGTAACTAAAATCAGATTTGGAGGGAAATTTTCTTGATTTTCAAAATCAAATTTCATCCAATAATGA